TGAGAGCACTTAAACCCAATGAAGCTCAGACAAACTGTCCCCAAACCTCCCAAACAACAAAGCACTGGAGGAAGCACCCTCACTCTGGGGTGTGGGACACCACCCCACCAGGCAGTTCAGGGAAAACAAAATAAGGATTTTTTCAATTTTTTTTTATTAAGCCCAAATGCCAACAGAGAGGTTTTTGGGGAAAATGGATGACACATCCCCAAAGGACCTGCAAGACCCAAATGGAGAATCAGGGTGGCCTCACAAACTGCAAGTGAAACACTTCATGGATTTGTTTGGCAATTCCAAGCCTAAAGGAACTTCTCTCTGCAACGTGGAGTATTTGACAAAGCCCTGGGGGTGGCAGTGGACTGAGCACAGGTAGCTGGAGAACAAGAAATGCCAGATGGCTGTGTGCGTTGCTTAGAGAGTGGGAAAGGAGAAAAAAAAATATATATTTAAAAAAAAAAAAAAAAAAGGCAAAGTTTGCTATGGTTCTCTCTGTGAAGGAAAGGGCAGGCATTGCAAGAATTCAGAAATAACATCCTTAGGTGGAGATGGGCCAGTTGTGGAAGGAGCTGAGCACGTAAACAGGCTGAGGAGCAGGAAGCTGGCAGGAGCTCTGGCGAGGCTGGTGAGATTTCACACGTGGGGAATGGACCCAACCCGGATTCCTGCAGGGTTCCAACCCTCTCCTTCTGCTCTGGGCAGAGCTGGGGGTGGTTCCTGCTCCTGCAGGAGTGGTGTCAGGCTGGGAACAACGCTGGAGCTCAGGTGCACACTCAGACTCACAACCTGCACCTTTGGAGGTGTCACTCCCCATCAGCTCAGCGGTGGGGAGGGAGGAATTCCTGCACATCCACAGGGGGGTTTGCTACAGGCATCATCCTGCCTGCTCCACCTGGAGATGAAGCTGCTGAAGGCACCTGAGCTTGGGGTCTGAGCCCCTGCAGCACAGGCAGATGTTACAGCAGGGTCTCACCTCCTCGGAGCATCACCCTGTAAGGATAAAACCCCACTCACCCCATCCCCAGCTCTACAGGGCTTCAGGGGGCTCTGCGTGGAATTTAAAGGTGTTTTTTGCTTAATTTGCTGCATCTCTTGTACACACTGACTGTTCTAATAGCCAGGGAGCAACATAAAAGCATCTCGAAGGAGCTTATTTCAAATTTTAAGAGCAGCAACAAATGGCAGAAAACACTGTTGTGAAAGATTTAATCAATTAGTTTTTGAGAAAGCAGTAATAGGATCACTTCAGAGTGTTATAGAAACAGGTCCCCACACTGTCCCCACTCCCACTACGAGAGTGTTCTGCCCCAATCCCAGTGTGTTTGTCACCTCATCTTGGAAAACAGAACAAAACCTTCTGAGGAGGCAAAGTCAGCTAAACTCAGCTAAATTCTGGCCAGCACAAGAAAAATTGCATGAACAGCTCCTACTTTATGCCAGTGTTAATGATGCTCAGGGCTTCCTGAATTTTAATGGGAAGGAAAATCTCTTTTAAAGCCTGTGTTGGAATGGGGGTTTACACCTGCTCGCCCACCAAACCCCGTGAGTCCCAAGAGGAACAGGAAAAAGCAAGGAGCAGGCAGAGATTTGAGCCAGACCTCTGGGAATTCACCCCAGAGTTAAATCCCCAGGGCTCTGCCTCCACTTGTGCTTTTGCCACCAATGTGGTGGGTCCTTGGGAACACAGCAAATGGGCTACCCAGAGCAGCATCACAGATAAAGGGGCAAAATTTATGGTTCCTAAACCCCAACAGCTCCTCTCTGCTCTCATGGATAAATAAATATATATAATATTAATTAATAAATAATAATATAAATAAATAATATAAATTTATTTATCTCACAGATAAATAAAACCCCCAGGATCATGGGGGTGCAGCACAGCCAGAGGGATCCTCACTGGCTGTAAATGTCCTCCCCCAGTCCCAAAAAACATCCCAGAACTCACGCTGGTGAAACTGTTTAGACCTTTTAGACTAAACTCCCTGTTTAGACCTTTCAGAAGTGCGGATGGGGAGAGAAAATACATGGTTTATTAGGAATGCAATAAGCAAAGTGCTACCCCAGCCTTCCTGTAAATGCTGAGAGCAGATATTTCCAGCCGCTCTCCCTTCACCACCAGCATGAATGATCACCCTCCTCGCAAGCCTTTAGAGCAAATCCCTGGAATTAAATCAGTATATTGCACGGTTCCAGTTCCTTTCACCCAGGAATCTTCAAGTGATTTACAAACAACCCTTTAATTAAGCCTCCCAAACAGCCCCCGGGGTAGTGTTACTCCATCCGTGAGGGGAATCGAAGGCTTTGCACGGCTAAAATGGCAAAAAGGTTGCAAAAGTCTTATCAAAGTTCCTCCGAGACAAAATATCTCAGAAGAGACTCTCTGCTTTGATGCTGATTCTAAAACCCTCTGGTTAAACATCTTTTTTTCTCCTCCTGGAGATGTGGCCCCAATTGCCTCCTCCTGCCCATGTCAGGATTAGTGTTCAATGCATAAAATGTTTGTTTGTTTGTTTATATGGGGTTTTGTTTTTATTTTTGTTTGTTTGGTTTTTGTGGGGTTTTTTGTGGTTTTTTTTTGTTTTTTTGGGGTTGTTTTGTTGTTGTTTTGTTTCTTAATGCACATCTCTGACAGCTCTTCAGCAAACACGAACTCCCAGTACCAGGGAACTCTCAGTACTGGGAAAGTAGCCTGGGAATTCAGCTTTGGGAATGAAAATCGGTGTTTTGGCAACAAGGATTTCAAACCCATCAGTCTGTGGTTTGCTTTGAGCCCGGTGCTTGATCTCTGGTAAAAACCCTTCCTGCTCTTTTTTTTTGTTTTTTATGCCCCCAGGACAGGTTTGAGCTGCGGGTCTTTTGAATCCCCTGAGAATAAAAAGTATTTTTTGTCTCTTCCTGATGCAATTTTCCTATCAGACCGCCAGTGGGAATACAAGATGCAATGTGGAGAAAGAATAAATAAAATAAAATATGCCATGAAGATACTGTAATGGGTAACTCTGAGCCCCTCTCCGGCTGGTGGAATTTAAAGATGTTTTTTGCCTAATGCTGTGTTTGCTGCATCTCTTGCACACAGTGGCTGTGCCTTGTCTAAAGCTGATTTTCTTCTGATTTAAGCAAGGATATAAAGAGGATTCTCTGCAAAATCAGGCGATTGGGGTGTACAAGCCTGGAAGTCAGTATTTCTAAGGAAATTGCTGTACCTCAGAGAGCTGCTCTTAAAAACTTCAGCAACCGTGGGCTGGTTCTGCCCTGCCCCACACCTAGAAATTGTCACCTTCCAAAAAACAGCTCTGAAATCCCTAACTCTCATTTCACATCCAATTTAAACACAGCAAATCATGTAGGCTCCATCCCAATCATTATTTCCTAAGATACCCAAAATACTACAGCTTCACTTACAAACACAACTTCTTCCCATTTAAGGAGGAAGGGGGAAAAATGATGAATTTTAGGCTTTGAGGAACTCGGATGACCAGAGCAGATTCCAGTTTTGGAGTTAAGCACTGCTGGGACTCTGAGCCCTAACACTCAGCAAATAGGGATGCCTATCTTGGCCCCTAAGGAAGAAAATCCTGGTTCCAATAGCCAGGGAGCAACATAAAAGCATCTCTAAGGAGATTATTTCAAAATTTAAGAGCAGCGACGAATGGCAGAAAACACTGTTGTGAAAGATTTAATCAATTAATTTTTGAGAAAGCTGTAATAGGATCATTTCAGAGTGTTATAGAAACAGGTCCCCACACTGTCCCCACTCCCACTACGAGCCTGTTCTGCCCCAGTCCCAGTGTGTTTGTCACCTCATTTTGGAAAACAGAACAAAATCTTCTGAGGAGGCAAAGTCAGCTAAACTCAGCTAAATTCTGGCCAGCACAAGAAAAATTGCATGAACAGCTCCTACTTTATGCCAGTGTTAATGATGCTCAGGGCTTCCTGAATTTTAATGGAAGGAAAATCTCTTTTAAAGCCCGTGTTGGCATCAGGGACGGATGGGGGTTTACACCTGCTCGCCCACCAAACCCCGTGAGTCCCAAGAGGAACTGGAAAAACAAGGAGCAGGCAGAGATTTGAGCCAGACCTCTGGGAATTCACCCCAGAGTTAAATCCCCAGGGCCCTGCCTCCACTTGTGCTTTTACCTCCGGAGCATCCCCCAGCTTTTGTTACCTTGAATAAAAGCCCATTTCAGCTCTGCAGAGGCTCTTCGGGGAGCCATGAGTCGGAGCAAGATTTTTATTTTATTATTTTATTTTATTTTATTTTATAATTTTTTTATTTTCGCATCTCCCTCGCCTTCCCTGATTACAAGGAAAAAATGCACCTCTCCTCCCTACCTTTATTCGCTCTGGAAAGCAGCAGCGCGTTTCCTTTCCCTGCTACTTTTCCATGTGGTTTATGGCTACCACTCCAACAAAACACCTGAGAACCACAACTCCCACTCCATCAAACCTCACCCTGACCCCAACACTAGCGCAGCACCCCCGAACCGCTCCCACTCCCAAACCTCCCCAGGATCCTCCAGTTTCACCTTTTCCCATCCCCACCATCAACTTCCAGCAGGGAACCGCTGTCTCCAGCAGCATTCCCCACTCCTCTCCCGCGCCATCTCCGCTCACGCTCCGCGGGTGCAGCACCTGGACCACTGAAGAACATCCCAAAGCCCCCCACCCCCGGCTCGATGGGACCCCAAAAGCGAAGTGAGAAGCTCGGCGCTCTCCAACAAGCCCGAGTCCCCGAGCTTGGGGGGTTTGGGGGGTTTGGGGAGCGGGCAGAGCTGGATGTTGGAGCTGGTCCCTCCGCAGAACGAAGCAGCACTGCGGCCCCAAGTTGTGCTGGATGCGGCTGCCGAGAAGAGCCGCGTAAAGCCGCGTAAAGCCCGAAGTCCCCCGGCTGCTTTTGCACCAAAACTCGCCGATAGTAACGGGGGAAGCGGAGCGCGGCGAGGAGGAGAGGGATGCTGGAAGCGGGGAGGAAGGCGCGGGCAGCGGAGGGCGGCACTCACCGAGCAGCAGCAGCGGCAGCAGCAGCCCCGCAGCCCGCATGGTGCTCGGCGCGGCCGTCCCGGAGCGGCTCCCGCAGCTCTCTCCCGGCGGGGCGGGCGGGAGATGCCCTCCCTCCCCCGGCCCCGGCCCCGGCCCCGGCCCCGGCCACGGCCCCCCCTTGTCCCGCCGCCGGGGGAGGCGCTGAACGGCCCCGGACCGCCCCCGCCTCCGCCCTCAGAGCGGGGGGAGAGAGCGGCGGGGTGGGGATGGAGGTGGGATGGAGATGGATGGATGGGGATGGGGATGGGATGGGATGAGGATGGGGATGGGGATGGGGATGGGGATGGGGATGGGGATGGGGATGGAGATGGGGATGGGGATGGGGATGGGGATGGGGATGGGGATGGGGATGGGGATGGGGATGGGGATGGATGGGGATGGAGATGGAGATGGGATGGGATGGGATGGGATGGGATGGGATGGGATGGGATGGGATGGGATGGGATGGGATGGGATGGGATGGGATGGGATGGGATGGATGGGATGGGATGGGATGGGATGGGATGGGATGGGATGGGATGGGATGGGATGGGATGGGGATGGGGATGGATGGGGATGGGATGGGATGGGATGGGATGGGATGGGATGGGATGGGATGGGATGGGATGGGATGGGATGGGATGGGATGGGATGGGATGGGATGGGATGGGATGGGATGGGGATGGGGATGGGTTGGGAATGGGGATGGATGGGGATGGGAATGGGGATGGGATGGGGATGGATGGAGATGGAGATGGGGATGGAGATGGGGATGGGGATGGGGATGGGGATGGGGATGGGGATTGGGATGGGGATGGGGATGGGGATGGGGATGGGGATGGATGGGGATGGATGGGGATGGATGGGGATGGATGGGGATGGAGATGGGAATGGGATGGGGATGGGGATGGGGATGGGGATGGGGATGGGGATGGGGATGGGGATGGGTGGGGATGGATGGGGATGGATGGGGATGGATGGGGATGGATGGTGATGGAAGGAGATGGGTGGGGATGGGGATTGGAATTGAGATGGATGGGGATGGAGATGGATGGGGATGGAAGAGTATGGGATGAGGATGGGGATGGAAGGGGATGGGATGAGGATGGGGATGGGGATGGGGATGGGGATGGAGATGGAGATGGAAATGGATGGATGGGGATGGGGATGGGGATGGGGATGGGGATGGGGATGGGGATGGGGATGGGGATGGGGATGGGGATGGGGATGGGGACAGAGCAGGCAGCGAGGAGAGGGGGATGCACCTGCGAAGAGGATGGGGGAGACTTCACTGGGACAGGAGATCTGGGGGAGATTTGGGCTTCTCAGCTTCATGGAGAAATTTGGGGGTTTAATTGGATTTGGGAAGATGGAGAAGGTTTAAAGGATTTGTTAGGATGGAGGTATGGGAGATGGGGTTTGGGGTTCTCAACTTCATGGAGGGATTTGGATGTTTTGTTGGAGTTGGGAGGTTGGAGGGAATTTAGGGGTTTCTTTGGAACTGGGAGGTTGGAGAGAGTTTGGGGTTCTTTAGAATAGGGGTATGGGGGGATTTGGGGTTCTCAATTGCATGAAGGGATTTGGGGGTTTTGTTTGAGCTGGGAGGTTGGAAAGGGGTTTTAGGATTTGGTTGGAGAGGGGCTTTAGGGTTTTGGAGAGGGGCTTTAGAGTTTCTTTGGAGTTAGGAGGTTGGAGAGGGTTTAGGGGTTTTGTTTGGATTGGGATTTGGGGTTGTCAGCTGAATGGGGAGGTTTGAGGATTTCACTGGGATGGGGATGTGGGGTTGGGATTTGTGGTTCTCAACTACATGGGAGTATTTGGAGGTTTTGTTAGAGTTGGAGTTGGGGAGGATTTTGGGGTTTCATTCAGGTGGGGATTTGTGGAAATCTGGGGAAGGGATTTGGGATTTTCAATTACATGGGGAGATTTGGGGGTTACATTCGATTTAGGAGTGCATGTGGGATTTCCATTGGTTTGGGAGCTTGGGGGGTGGTGGAATTCCTGCCTGCGTGGAGGGAGCTTGGAATGTCCATCAGGATGAAGATTTTGGAAAGATTTGGGGTTTTTGTCAGGGTGGGCCATTTGAGAGGGGATATGTTGTTCCCATCTGTGTGTGGGGGGGTTGGGTTTTCCTTGGATTTGGGATGTTGGGGAGGATTTGAGGGGTTTTTTTGGAATGAGAGGAGTGAGGATGATTTTGTATTTCAACTTACATAGGAGTGATTTGGGGGGTTTCACTGGAACCAAGGGTGGACTGGGGGTTTTTATCATGGTGGAGATTTGTGGGAGATCGGGAATTTTAATCTGAATGGTGGTTTGTAAATTGATTTTGTGTTCCAACCCACATGAACAAGGATTTAGGATTTTTGTTTGGATGCAGACTTGGGGATCTCTTTGGGATTCCTACATGCATGGCAAAAATGCCTGAGTTTTATCAGGATGAGCATATGGGGGTGGATTTGGGATTTTCATCTGGATGGGAGCTTGGGGTTTGATTTCAGATTCACATCCAGGTGTGGGTTACTTGAGGATTTCATCCATATTGAGTTTGTTTGGGGATTCTCAACAGGGATGGAGGTTTATTTGGAGTTTTCATCTGGAGATGGGATTAATTTGGGATCATCTTCTGTGCACAAACACTGATCCCTCCTCTTCCCCCCAGAGAATGTACATTTTTCACGGGATGTTTTCTGGGAAAAATTTCCACCTGTTTGAGAATGTTTCAAAGGATGTACCCAAAGCATGAAGGACAAAATTATGACCAAATCTTGGTGCTGTTTTGTGTTGAGGCACTGAAAGTTGTTTTGTGGTGTTCAGGCAAAGAGTGCTCGCTGCAGCTGGGAGGAGGATGAAAATAAACTCAGGGCTTTGCACTGAATCCTCGTCTTGGCTGGATCCAGCTGAACCAGAATGTTCCCAGCCTGGACCCAGAGGTGGTAAAGACAACCTTCACCCTAAAAATGACTTTTCAAATACGGTTCTCTTGACCCCTTCAGTTACAGGTGGACTTTGTTCTTGATGCAAGGTCACCTTCAGAAGATGAGGACATGCTTGGGTTTGCTGGCTCAGCCCTCCCTGCTTTGCATGTTGTCCCCAGAAAAGGTTTCTTGTCATGATTTAACTTCTGGGTCAGTTAATAAAATTTTTAATACAAAAAAACGGAAAGAAATAAAAAAATTTAAGAAATTAAATATCTTCACAAACTCAAAAAAATTTATTTTGCAACTTTTTTTAAAAATCTAAAAAAAAATCTAAAAATTAAAAAAAATCTAAATTACTATAAAACCAAAATACACAAACATTAAATAAAAAATAATAAACTTATATTTATGATTATGAGAGACTTTCCAGATGCCTCAGCCCAGCCTCACCTCTTCTTGATGCAACTGTGCACTACACAGCACCCAAAACTGTGAAACTTGAGTTGCAATAAATGAATGAAAGGGTTGCTACACATTATTAATCCTGCCAGCATCAGAGAGGCAGTTCCTTCTCCCTCACAAGGAGTATTTTTAATAACAGATCCCATTCACACACACACACTCTCTCCCAATTTTTGGTGTTAACTGCTAAGCCAAGACAGCCCAGGAAAAAAACCTGGGCTGCTTCAGTAGAACAGATTCTGGGATAAAGAGGAGGAGGGTGATGTTGAGCTCCTCAAACTCTCTGTTTATGGCACCAGTGTCCATAAAACACTGCAAAAATACCCTGTGGCTCATTGCCTGGGAGATGGGGCTTTCCCAAGGGGTGTTGGGTCTCCTCTGTGGGAATAATAGAGAAGAACAGAGCTCCCTTGGCAGCAACCTAAGGAAAACAGAACAGTCTGAAATCCACTTAAGAGTCAGGCTGGATTTGGTTTTGTTGTGTGATGGTTGTAACTCATGAGAGTTAGGAGGAGAATTCTGCCTGGTTGGTGCCATCAGCAGATCTGGGCTGTGCTGGTCCTTTGGCTTTGGGCAAAGAGGATGGAGCCTCACCCCTTGAGCATCTGAGTCCTTCCAGACTGCTGATTTGGGATGTAGGCTTTCTCTTAATTACCACAAAATGCACCCTGGCATTCACCAGGGAGTTTTGTGAGTTCTCAGCAGACTTGTTGGACATGACGCTCTTTTGTTTCCTCAAACTTTGGCTGCTGGCAATTACCACGGTGGCTGAAACCACAGCATGGCCTCCAATTCTTGGAAAACAGGGATTCATCCAGAAATATGGAGCTAAGCCCCCTTTTCCAGGGGGGCAGCAGGAAGGTCTCCCATTATTTGCAGGATACAGGTGCCTTCCCACTCGTGCCAGCCCCGAATCTGCCTCTGCTGGAAAGGGGGTAATTACTGAGGGTGTCAGATCATGGCTATGAATCATGAACTGCTGATTGCAAAAAAAAAGGGATATTTAGATATTTAGCATGATTGCTTTAAAAGCTGGATGTCTGATAAAGTACATCCCATCCAGCAGCTGGGGGAAAGGTCACAAAAAAAACCCCCTAATTTGGGAAACTGGGCACTTTTCTTGGGGTGTCAAAAAGGCATTGGTGTTTGCCAGAAAGATGGAAACAATCTTTGACACCCCAAGACATGCAGCATTGCTAACTAGGAGCTTTATCACGAGTAGCCCAGCTCTGGAGGTTTTCCTAAATACCAAAACCACAGAGCCAGGAAATTATGTAGAGGCTTTTGCTTTCAACTCCAAACATGAATGTCTCCGAGGTGAAGGGAAACCCTTTGGAGAAAGGCCTGCACATCTGTCTGAGAAGTGGGAGCCAAAAATAAGAATTTACATTAATATTTATTATTGACATTATGATTATTTAAAATCTCATGGGCTTAAGTGAGTCAAGTGTGTTTTTTAAATTCTGACATTGATGTGGCTGCACACAGGTTCACATTTACCTGGGTCTATGTGTTCCAGCCAAATATTTATGTAAGGCTCTGAAAGAACAGCACAGGGAGTCAGTGGTTTCAAGGTATGCAGGTCAGCTGGGCTGAAACCCTCTTAGGAGAAGGAGGAAGACTCCACATGATACAAGATTTCCTTGTTGAGGAAATCTCAAAATATTTTTCTGATTCCCCAAAGGGTAAAAACACCCCATTTCCTCTGCAGTTTTGAAGTAAACTGGACAAAGGAGAGGAAAACA